CATACTCCTTTTGAGATTGAAGATCACAGGTAACAAAAATAATTATTTGGGGAAACCAACTTTGGCAACCAAACCATTTGGTCTTGTGCGTTCCCTGTTGCCTCCACTCAAATCACTAATAATCTCATGCCTGCTGCATGGGAGCAAGAAGAGGAGCCCCATTTCTGACCCTGACCCTTGTTTTGGGTTGGGTGACCAGATACAGAGTTTGTCCACCAGTGCCTTTATGCATCACCCAGCCCATGACCCGGACTTGGTCACACCCCTCGAAGACATGACTCCAGTGTCAGGTCATGTACCCGGCCATTTCCCTAGTGCCTTGTTTAACACACTGCACCTTAGTGCTGTATTTCTTAAGCCTTTAGTCCCCCCACTCTGGCAGGGCTGTTGATGCTAGAAATTCTACACCTTATTTATCTGCCTGCTGTGGGATAGGTGAGCAGCCAGGGTATGAAACTAGGGGTGAAATCCCCATGCCAGCACCATCATCATCAACTAATCCCTGCATCCCACTCAGCTTACAGCTCTGGCCAAATTGTGAAATCAAGCAACGGGTAGCAGCCAAAAATGAGGTTTCCCCATGGCCCACAGTGGGAGCCCAGAGGTGACACCAGTCCCCTCTGAAGGCCACCAGTGATGACACAGAGCTGTGGTCACTGTCATGCTGGAGCTGTACATGCCAGAGGTTTCCGCTGCCTCTATCTGTGATGTGCTCAACAAGCCAGGTTTCCCCTCAAAATTAGTTCTTTCCATTTCATGTCTTTCAGCTGTGGTTGGTAACTTGGTCATGGGTCTCATTGGTGTGATGAAGCACCGTCAGCAAACCCGGCTGTGGGTAAGCATGGGTGACTAGAGTCAGGTCTCTAAAACAGAAGGGTTTTATGGTGTCACATGTCACAAAGAGAAAAACCACAATTTTATTTCCAAGTCCCTTTCCCTGCTTCAAGCCAGATGGGAGTGAACAGCTTTTTGAGGTAATTGTTTTTTCCTCCCTTATAACGGTTCATACCGGGCGACCTCTTTTAGATGAAATTTTCAGCCAATTTCTGCTCAAGACAATGTTGGTTGTAGGAAATTTCAGGTCAAAGAAGGAATCATTACTGAAGGTTTAAGCTGCTGAAGGCTGAAGATGTGAGCGGAAAGTGGTGGTCAGGGTTAAAACCCAAGTATTTTGACTCGATAACGTCATTGCTTCGTTGCACGTAGAAGTTTTCTCTTAACCCTGTACCTGCAAAATCCAACCCATCTTCATGGCAATGCCCTTTCCTTTCACTGCAAGCACTAATGGGGAAGAAAAACGGGGTCAGTTTCGAGCCTATAGGAAAGCTCTGTTAATTTTACCCTCTCTTGATCTTCCACTCTCCACATCTCAGTAGATGCGTTTCTGGATATATTGAGTTAAACAGTCAGAATAGGAACATGCGTCACAAAATTGATAGTATCTCAGGTGAACCTAGTAACCTGAATTGTGAAAAATTTAGGTGAGATGAGTTGCTGGTCACCAGACTGTCAGTGGAATGAGACCACAAAATGATGATAACATCCTGCAGTTATGTTATCAGTGATGTTAAAGCATCAGTAGATAGAGATTTCTGCTGGTCCAGATTAGTCCCTTCTCCTTCAAAAATACCCTGAGTCTGGAACATGTTCTTGGTTTTCTGGAGGACTGAAGATGAAACTGTTTGAAGAGTCCTATACTTCAGTCCTTCTCTTACAGCTGGGCAACCTGTCTTTGGAAGAAGCTTCTCTTTGGGCTTCTCTTCACAGAGAAACTGATAAAACTGGTCACCTGACATTTTTCTGCAGTAAAAATAGATTTTACTCCTGAATTCCACGAGGGCCCCAAGACCTGCTGTTTCATCTGGAAAAGCAGCATGTGCACTGTTCTTTCCCCTCCAGGTGGTGGCTGATCCTTGTTGGATCACAGTGCAGTCTTTGCTTCTGCTTCCCCTTTTATTTTCATACCTCTCATCCCAAATTAGAAAACAGGGATTGTTAGCTTGTGTGATTAAGAGCCATTATTTGCCATTAAAACAAATCAGCAGAGGAGCAGTGCCAGGTGGAGGAACCCAAAAAATGTCACCAGGGCCCCTGACCCAGCTCTGTTAGTGCTGTCCAAGGAGGATCATCAACCCGAGTCCAGATGTGAGATGTACCAGACAAGTCAATGGGGGACACTTGTCCTGCATCACCTTGCTGGCTACAGGGATATGGGACTCATTACAGCATGATGGGAAGAGAATTTGGGCATTGTGCAAGACTTATTGTAGGATGTTTAGGAGAAGGGGCAATGTTGGGGAAAGGAAAGGGTCAGGGAGGATTGGTGAGGAATAAAAAAGGAAAATTATAGGAATTTATCACATAAAAATGAGATGGTGGTTATTAGGCTTGTCTAGCTGGGCTCTGTTCCTCATCATGTCATTGTGTCCTGTCTTCTTATTAAATCATTTTCTTAGCTTTCTAATTGTATATTTTTGTAAATGTAATTTCACTCTCTATCCTAAATGCAAGTGCTACAAGGTCTAAGGGCCAGCAACTGGGGGTCCAGAGTCTGTGCACATTGTGTGAGGATTGGAATCTGTGAGGAAATGCTGAAGGCATCAACCTGGACCAGCTCCAGATATTGAGGCAGCCATAAGTCTGGGCAGGATGCTGGAGAGACCAGAGGGTCTGCAAATTGGCTGCTGGTGATACTAGGAGGTCTAGACCAGTTACTGGAGAGACTGGAATCAAGGGGTTGACTGCTGGTAAGGTCATAAGTCTGGAGAAGCTGCTGGGGAGACCCATTGGGGGTGTTTGCATCTGTGCATGAAGCAATGGGGAGACTGGGAGATTCAGGGGCAGCTACTGGAGAGATGATCTAAGGCCAATAACTGGAGAGATCCAGCTTGTACGTATGTATATAAACATGTAGCTGTTTTCCACTAACAGGCTTTCATCCTGATCAGCCAGGGAGGGGAACAAGGACAAGGACACCCATCCTGTTTATGTTTGCTTGGGTGGTGTCTTTTGCCTGTGTTGACCCTTGGACATCTGCAGATGTATACAGGTTATACACGTGTTGCATAGCTCTGTGTGTGCATGTGCATGTTGGGAATCTGGGCCCAGCTTCACTATTGTAGGGACGTGGAGATGTGAACCTGCAGCAGCCTCACCTCTACTGGGTTTGAATTTGGGGCTGCTGGATTTGGCAGTTCCAGGCCAGGACAGCATTACCTTCTCATCACTCCAAGTGCTAAAACATAATTTACTGACCAGGTGTGATACACTGACAGCAGAGGGAAAAGTGTATTGGGAAAATCTTTAAGGAACAATTAATCCCATTCAGACTTTAGCTGCCAAGCCCTTACACTGTGCCTGCTGAAGCTTTATAAACATTTGGGTTTTATAAAAACTGTGATTTGATCAGGTGTGGTGGGATTTTCACAGGATCATCAAGAGACACTCCTAGTTTCTTGCCAGCACACTGACTCCATGTGAGTTTGCTCCAATGTTACTACAGTGGTTCCTGTGCTCCCAGCTGACCCCATGCCTCACCCCACCCCACAACATGTTGCTGGGCAATCACAGTCTACAACCACTGTGCTGGTGCTGGTGGTACAGCCCTTTCAGGCACCTTGTATTTCCTTATATTTTATCTTTTCTCTACACCCCTTGGCACTCAGAAGAGACTTTTGCAAAATGCAGTACAGTATGGCCATGGAGATGGTCTTCCACGTATGTCCAAAGGGTCCATCCAGGAGAAATGCTACTCCAGGGTCTTTCTAGTAGCCAAGGCAAGAGGAAGGAAAAGAAAACAGCACTCCTACAGTGTAGCTCAGATAAGGACTGCATACCCACACTGAGCTGAAATGGGGCTCCTGGTGATGGGCTGTGGAGGGAAACCCAAGGAGATGCTGGTCAAGGCTGATAAAGCCAATTAATGTCTCAGGGTCCTTACAGGGCATGCAGGAATTTATCAAAGAGCTCTCTGGAACATGTCAACGTGGCATCTCAGCAAGGAGTGGAGAAGGCATCCCAGCTCCTGGTTCCTTGGGTTCTCCCAGGAGGACTTCCCATGCGTATCTGCTCTTTCC